TGCTGGGGAGCTGGCCTCTCCGTGCCTCCCCAGCAGGCCTGGCACTCCTGGTGGTCAGCTGGTTCTCCGCTCAGCAGAACAAGGAATCTCTGCCAGCTTGGTGACTGGCTCACCCCACCGCACACATCCATGACTTTCCATGGCTCCCACTGCCCCATGGCCTCTCCTGTCACCTGGCTCCCTCCCATCCTAGGGCCCTGCCTTGCACATGCCTCCAAGCCTCCAACACGTTCCGGGCCCACAGCTGGTCAGGCTGCCCCACCGGACGGCTGGGGAGTTCGTCACCTGTGTGTGTCCCCTCACTGCCGGCCACAGTGCCGGGGGCACGGGGCACTCTGGAGCACAAGCTAGCAGGGCCGATCCCCATGGTCAGGGTGACGGGGGCTTCATGAAGATGACCCTTCCATGGGGTCTGGGAGGAGGAGGGGACCGCATGCCCAGGTCGGGGCAGAACAGCACAAGCAAAGAGGTGGGAAGAGGGTGGGGAGCGAGCACAGAGCGCGGCACAGGCCCACAGTCCGTCCAGGAACACAAGAGCCACTCCTGATGGAGGCACCAGCTCCCAGACCTCCCGGTGTCCCTCGCCTCCCTCAAGTCCCTCCTGTATGGGGGGCAGAGGCAGGAGGAGCTCTGTAACCCACGCAGCTCCAGGACGCCCAGCCTACCCCACCCCTGTGTGCTCAGTTCCCATCTGGGCCTCAAGCGGGTGGGATTCACAGGGGGGCTCCACGCTAGGGCCCAAGGGTGTGGGGGAGGGGCAGGCCCAGGCGGACAAAGAGTCTGGACGGGGAGGGCACAGCGCCCGCCCAGAGGAGACAGTGGCTCAGTGTCCAGCCTCCCCCAGGCGTACAGTGGGCTCTTGTTCCCAGACGGCCCCTCATGGTGGAAATCCCAACAGCATCTCCGCTGCACTGACCCCTCGGTGCAGGGAGAAACCACAGTCCAGGGGCGGCCGGCCTGCCTGGGTCACACAGCATCTGAGTCACTCTGGCAACATCCATGGCTGCCCACCCGGCCCAGCCCAGCAGGAGACACCCAAAGGGGCATCTGGAAGTGAAGCAAGGATTGCTGACAAAGCAAGTGCCAACGGTGGGGACCCAACCCAGCAGGGGTGGGGGCACAAAACCACACTGCACCTCAGGGCGCTGCACCCGAGGCACTTCGAACAGCCCAGGACGAGGGTGGGCAAGAGATGAGGCTGAGGGACAGGGCCCCACAGAGTCACACGACCTCGGGGGCTGCTTTAAGCGGCAGCGAGAGGGGTGGGAGCTGCTGCAGCCATCCGGGCAGAGGGCGGGTGGGGTGCAGGGGCGGGTCCCACCAACCCAGGTTCCTGCTGTGGGGCTGACTAGGGATCCTTTGGGCTGGCACCGTGCAGGGAGCAGGAGGAGCCAGGGAGCAGGAGCCAGTGCAGGGCGGCAGGGCCCACAGCGCTTGAGCACAGAGGACCTGCTCAAGGAGCAGAAAGGCTGGCCATGCCTGCCGGCTCCGGCTCCGGCTCCGGCTCCGGCTCCAGCTCCGGGGGTGAAACCTGAGCAAGGGGAGAGCCCAGGGATCAGAGGGCCCAGAGCCTGGCCATGAGCAGGAGCCACTGGGGGAACCCGGGACAGAACCCTTCAGAGATGCCATTTGGGAAGGTTGTGGCCAAGAGGCAGGAGGAGACTGGGAGAGGTTCTGGCCTGCTCAGGCCTGGCCGGCGGCCACAGCGGATGTGAAGCTGGCTCCTTAGGTGTGAGCAGCAGCCACCACTGCACTGGGGCCTTCCCCGCACGCTCGCAGGACGATGCTGGCAGAGGGCGCTGAAGGCCAAGTGGATGGCCCGGCCCCGGGACCAGACCTGCCAAGCCTGGGCTCCCTGTCCTGCCCGGCCCCAGGGAACCGCCCACCACTGAGGTCAGCTGGAGCAATGGCCCCACCCCGGGACACTTGCCCCAACGTGTCCCCAGCTCACCTGAGCACAGTCCCAGGAGAAGCGGAGAAGCCAGCTCCTCCAACCGCCCCACGGGAGCCCTGATCTCTGACCCCGTCTTCTGTTTGACCCCGACCCAGCTCTCCCTGGGGAGCGGGGATCACAGCTGTCGGGCAGCCTGGAGTCCAGTCCTTCTCCACCACGTGCTACTGTGAGGCAAAGTGGGGGTCACCTGTCTGAGCTTCCCCTATTGGGAAGGATATGGGCCAGGACCAACCCTCCCAGTTACCCCTCTACCTTTCTTGGAAGAAATGAGGTTCAGGGGGGAGCAGGTAGGCCTGAGACCTGGCCAATAGCCTGCATGGTGCCCTCATCCCGTCAGAAGGAGGACACGTCAAACCCTGCCTGCCCATGTCACCCGCCCCTTCTGTCACCCCAGAGGGGCATGCGGAGGGCCAACAACGGAACAAGAGTCTTCCTGCTGTAGGGGGCCCTGCAGGGGCAGGACCTGACCTGGGAGGTGGTAACAGGGAGGAAAGGGAGCACTAGCCCCGGGGGGGAGGTCCTGTCCAAGGCCCAGCAGGCACCTATGGCCCAGGGGTTACCAATGCCAGGATCAAGCTTCTAACCCCGCTGGGTCTGACGGAAGCAGATATCACCCGGGGCTGGGGAGCACTGAGGCTCAGAGGGGTCAAAGGTCCCACCCCCGCATGCCGCCGTCAGCAAGGGGGTCGGGGCAGGGACACAGCTATAGCAGATTCCGGGCGTGACAATCTGGGGTCTAACTGGATCTCAGGAGTTGAGTGACATCAGCCCCTCAAACTGCAGGGAAGAGGTCCAGATCCCAGCAACACGTCTGGTCACCAGGAAGAGCCCCCAGCAGTGCCCCTGACTGAGCACACAGTACTCCCTGGTGCCCAGACACCGTCAGGGCTTAGCAACACCCTCCCAGCACACACGGCTGCTGGACAGTGCTGGAGAGGCCCCACGAGGGGAAACCGAGTCCCTGAAGTCTGTTATCAGAGCAGAAATGGCTTCAGTCAGCACTATCCTGACACACCTGCTTCAGACCAAAGATCCTTGACCAACCAACTGAGTTATCACAGGCCTTGGGAGGTCACCTGTGTCCATCTTACAGATGAGGACACTGAGGCTCAGAGAGGCCAGTCACTGCCCAGTGCTGGTGCCCAGGGCTCCGGCAGCCTCAAAGGGGGTTTAAAGCCGTGGGCCCTGCCACCCCGGGAGCTGTGTGCCTGCCTCGCTGGCCCTGGCCACACCCCCAGGTAAGGGGCCGGCCTCAGGATTCCTCAGGGTGTGCAGGGCTGTCAGGCCCCCCTGGGCCCTCACTCCACCTTCTGCAACCCAGAGCATCTTAGTTCAGGGAGGAGGAAGTCGCCCGCAAACACACCCAACCCAGAAAGCAGGCAGGAGCCGAGGAATCCGATCCTCGGACAGAAAGTTGATCCTGTTACAGGCACCAGAGTGGGGAAACCGGAGCTGGTACGGAGGAGCCCCTCACATCCGGGGAGAGCAGCAACGGGGTGGCAGGAGGGGGTACCCTGAGCAGCAGTTGGAGCTGAGAAGACCCTAAGAGGGCCCCAAAAGGCAGGGAGCCCTGGGTGATTCCCTCCGAACCAAGGGTGCCCCTGGAATGCATGCTCCCCAGGATGGAAGCTTGTCTGGCCAGCACACTAAGGCGGGGCGAGGAGTGAGGGTCCAGTGCTGCTGGCCCTGGTCAGCCCGTCTGAGCAGTGGGTGGCCCATCAGCCCCTGGAGCTGCTTAAAGGCACTGGGAAGGGGCCTGGGGCCTGACACCTCCAATCTGGGGCCACTTGACTCGTGTAACCCCCTATCGGCCCCTGTCGGGTTCTCCGGGAAAAGGACCCGGATTGCCCAGAACAATTCCTGGTGGCGGGGGCTCAGCCTCAGGAACCTCTTGGGCCCCAGCCAGCCGCTGGGCTCCCCGGCTTCCTCTCCATCTCTGGGTGGGGGTAGGGGGCCGAGGCTAGTTCCATGGGGTGGAAGGAGCCCAGCCTATAGCTGAGCCAAACCTGAAAAGCCAGTTTCATCCTGAATCTTCTCTGCCAGGAAGTCCCAAGATGGGGGGGGAGGGGGGGAATGGGGGCCTTTCCTAGCACAGAGCTAGAGGGCCTCCTGACCCAGGCCCCGCCCACCCAGACACACACACATGCACACAGCCCGGAGCTGTGCACACATAAGGAACTCTGGTCAAGGCATCTGGGCCTTGGACAGGCATGGCTGGGGGCCCCCTGCCCATTCCCCACAGACATGTCCCCAGCAGGTCCGACAGCCAGCCCCCACCCCCTGCCCTTAGGAGCTGGGGTCCCTCCATCTCCCCAAGTCCCCAGCCAAGAGAAGGCCTGCTTCAAGGCACCGTGCAGTGGCCTCCGGCTCAGCCCTGGCTACTCCTCTTGGCCGCGGAGCACCGGTAGGGGTGTCTTTGGGAGCAGCTGCCATAGCCCTGCAGTTTCCGTGTTTACTGATGGGGGAGACGGGGGCCAGTCCCCACCTTCCCTCGCTCCACAGCTTCTGCGATTCCCATCCCCGGGGAGCACAGCTGGGGCGGGGATGATCCCAAGAAGTTCCACCCTCTGCGCTGGAGTTTCAGCTTGGGAGACACCACCCACCGGTGGTGGCCGGGAAGGAGAACGTAAGGGGGGAGGGTACAGCTCAGAGGAGCCTGGAGACCAGCCCGACTCGGAGCCCTCCCGCTCCCGGGACCCTCAGCTGTTGGGCGGGGGCTGGAGCCGCGCTGTCCGGCCTGGTCAGCCCGCTGGGACGTGCTAATCCGGCCACGGGCTATTTTTGCGTGCGCCGGGCTTGGAATCCAGGGCTGGGCCGCCTCCGCGGGCGGCTCAGGGAACTCCGGGAAGGAAAGTTCGGGCGCCTCGGGTGGGCACTGGCCCGAACCCCGGACCCGGGCCCGATCTGCACCCCGAAAGCGACCGGGCTCCGGCCGCTTCGAGCGGCTCCGGCCGCAGCGTGCCGAGCACCGGCCGGCGCGCAGCGGATGCAGCCCCGGAACCCGCCCGGCCCGGGCGCCCGGCGCCTCCCCGGCGCGCTCACTCACCGCCGCCGCCGGCACCCGGGGTCCTGGGGGTCCTGAGAGCCTCGGGGAGGGGCTGCCACCGCCGGCCGGGAGGGCTCCCGCGCCGAGTCCCCGCCCGCGCGCCCGCCCGCCCGTCCGGCCGGCCCGCCCGCCGGGAATGCCAGGGAGCGAGGGGCGTGCGCGCCGGGGGCGGGCCGGCCGAAGGGGGCGGCCTCACTGACTCAGGGCTCAGGAATGCGCACGGCCCGCCCGGCCCGGGCCGAGCCACCTCCTCCGGGAAGGCGACTGAGCTCTGCTCTCCCGGTGTCGGGCTGCGGGTGCACCTGTGGCCGGGGGTCGTGGGCGCCGCAGCTATGGAGACAGGACCTGGTGGCCCAGCTAGATGGAGCCTGATGGTCAACCACAGACCTCGGCTTCTCAGCCTCCCCCTCACTCCAGAGTGACCGCTGACCCTATCCTGCCTAGACCTGTGCTCGAGAAGGGGGGGGAGGGGGGACCAGTGTCCCTGGATGTCCTATAAACCAACCAGGAACCGCCCCCAAGGCACACACTGACAATCCCTTACCTACACTCCCCCAGGCCCACGTGAGCGCTCACACTGGCTCTGCACACGTTCACACTCACACACCCCCGCTCATGTATTCATGCACTTACACAGCCATGCTCGCCTATTCATTCATCCACACACACCTGTTTACACACTCGCATACACACACCTACTCCTGCACACAACATACACTGTCATGCCCACTCTGACATTTACACGTGTGCACATGCCACATCAGACAATTCCATTCCTGTGTTTACACACCCATGCACACCCACACTCACTGCAGGCAGGAGCAGAGCAGCACCCCTTCCCCAGGCCGAGGTGCTCCCCACCCGGAAAACCTGCTCTCCCAACAGGCTCTCCCGGCCGGCCTGGCCTGCGCCGAAAACCCTCCCAGCAGAGGCAGCGGCACCGTGTCTGGCGTCCACTCTGTGCCCTTCCCTTTCAGAGCTCACCAGCCGCCCTGGTGGGCTCATCCCTGCACCCTCTGAGTGGGCTCCCAGGCTAAGTCTGCTGGTGGGAATTTCCCAGCATTCCTCTCTCCTGACATTGAAGGAGTCTGTGCCTCCTAGTCACCCAAAGACCAGGCAATGGGGGAGGGGTGCCAATGGCCGGGTGTAAGCGGGAGCTGTGAGTGGTGGAGGGGTGCGGACTCCCCCGGATGGTTGGTACAATGGTCTCCCTCTTTTCCTCAGAGAAAACAAAACTGGGGCCACCAGAGGTCAGAATACCTTGGGCACATAAGGCCCCGCCCCTCAAGCCTCAGAGGCCCCACAGATGTGTCCTCGGGCCCCTTGCTGGTCTGGGACCAGGGGGCACGCTCCCTCTCTGTGCCTGACGTCTGCCTGCACACATCAAGCTGGTCCGTGGCTACACAGAAAATAAAGTTGACGATGGGAGGTAGCAGCCAACTTACAGGTTGGATCGCAGCCTGGGCAAGGGACAGAACCCTCTGATTGCACCCTCGCCCATACCATGGGACAGAGCGGTGGCTGCACCTTCCGGGTCCTCTATAAACACGGGCATATCGGCATGATTCTCAGCTACAGGGCCACAGTGAGAGCGCCGGAGGGGCTGGAGGGGACGCCTTCACAAGTGGAGGGAGGCGGCTACGGGTGCATTGGGGACACAAGGCAAGAAGGAGGCTGCCCAGTGGTGATGCCCACGGCTCCTGCGGCCACACACGTCAGCCCTCCCTTGCCAGGCTCTCAGCCAGACAGGACGGTCTCTCCATGCCCAGCATTCTTGACCCCTGCCAGGGATAAACAGGCCCTGCCCACCAGACTGGGCTGGCAGAGTATGCGGCAGTGCCCTCCTGGAGTCCAGGGCCTGGGCTTAGCTCCAAAGCATGTCATGGCTGGGCACCCAGTCCTGGCAGGTCCCTTCCCGCGGTGGATGCTGAGGGTGCCACCCAGGCCCGCTTCATGACCCAGACATTCGCCCGCAGCTGCCGGGAGCGCCAGATCTCGCTGGATCACAGCGGAGAACCCCCTGAGGAGCACCCTCTACGCTCCCTCCCCAGAGAAGGTGACAGGTAAATGGCCTCCCACATTCGGGTGACCTCCGACGGGTCCCTCCCTCCCCAAGCTCCAGTGGATCCACAGCAGCCTCTGTTGCAGACCCTTGCTCCTCACAGGTGTTGCTCCCAAGGCAGGCCCCGGAATATTCTGGAAGGCAAACTCAGGAGTCCCAGGGTCTCTGCTCACCCCGGCCTCCTGAGCAGGGACCCTGGCATCTGGATAGTGTGAACAGAGAAGGGTCAACACATGTGTGCTCAGGCCTGGACCTAGTCCACACGGACACGCGTATGCACACGCATCTGCTCTGCCTCACTCTGCCCCACTGCCTTGTGCCCCGGTGGAGGAGCCCCTATGTGGAAACCCTGCTCCCCGGGCTTCCAGTCCCTCTCCAGCCAGCCCTGGAGAGACGGAAATCAGCTGCAACTGCCAAGCACAGGGGTGGGCAAACTTTTTGACTCGAGGGCCACAATGGGTTCTTAAACTGGACCAGAGGGCCGGAACAAAAGCATGGATGGAGTGTTTGTGTGAACTAATATAAATTCAAAGTAAACATCATTACATAAAAGGGTATGGTCTTTTTTTTTTTTAGTTTTATTCATTTCAAACTGGCCGGATCCGGCCCGCGGGCCATAGTTTGCCCACGCTGGCCTAGCACGTGGGTGGGTGACTAGGATGTTGTGTCTGCGCCCTCCCCAGCCCCGCCCCATGGGTGTGTACTTGACTCTGGGACCTGAGTGGTTGGGAGCCCTGACCAGGAGGAGGAGTCCCTGCCAGCCACTCTGGAATCCTCAGCTCAGCAGGCCAGTCCCTGGGCTGGGAGGTGGGGGGCTGCGGGGGCCTGGAGGATCGTGGGACCAACCCCTGGCTATTTGGGGAGGTGGCCGAAATGGGCCAGGCCAGCCAGGGGCCTGAAGTCAGTAGCTATTTCTGAGGCAGCTGCCCCTCCCTGTGTCTCAGGGGATGGCGAGGGGTCCAGTGAGTACCTGGGCCCAGGGCCCAGCTGCACTGGCAGCACAGCCCAGGGAGGGAGGCTGCAGCCCACACACACCTCCTGCAACTGCCCTCCCTGCCCAATGGCCTCTGACACCCCCACCCTCCGAGGGGACAGCGGCCGTGCATCCCTACCTTAGAGAGGACACAGCCGGTGCGGGGCTGGCGCTCTGGCCTCTGTGCTGATAGAGCGGCTTATCCTTTCTCTCAAGGCTCTGGTGGCTGGTGGGCCCTCCACAGGCCATGAGCTGGCCCAGCAGGGCACAGAGCTCCCCCCAGCACTGGTCCCTTTGAGAATATTGAGGATGTCCTCACCTCCAACTTCCACTGACATCCTCCCACATGCCTCTCCCAGCCCCGCTCAGGGCACACTGGGGACAGAGCAGGCCCCAGGTCCCTCCTCTGCCTAGCTCCACCTTCTCTCCCTCCCAGCCCGCCTGTCCTGCAGGCCACAGCGGGAATGCTTAACCCACCACTTCCAGCCTGCGGTGGGGCCTCAGACCACAAACCAGGAAGCGGGGGGGGGGGGGGGGGGCGGGAGGAGGAGCCCCCCTTGCAGAGGTTGCGCAAGCCCCTGCCGAAACATCTGGAGAAGTGGGTTGCTGGCACTGGCCCTGCCTCTTCCTCCTCCTGGGAGCCAGGGCTGCTCTCTAAGCCTCTCTTTCCTCATCCTCAAGTAGGGATCAGACACCCCCTGGGAATGTGCGGACTCCCAGGGTTTCTGCAATGACCATGCACCACTTGTGAAATAAGAATAAAAATGAATGCCCTCGCCAGGGGATGAAGCCCAATTGAGATCTTAGATTCCCTCCCAAAGTGAGGAAGAAGGTGCAGGGGGGGGGGGGGGGAGGAAGGGAGGGAGGGAGGGAGGAAGGGAGGAAGGGGTCTGGGCACACAGGGCTGGAAGGGGCGTCATTGTTTAGACAGAATGGCTGCGGGGATGGAGGAGGAAGAACGGGTGGGCGTCACATCCAGGCGGCCAGGCAAGCGGGGCCTACGAGGCGTTGCCCACCCCCGGAAGCAGCTCCAGTGCCACAAGCCGCTGGGTGGTTTCCAGCGGGCTGGAAGCTGCTGCCCCTCCCTCCCCAGGAAGTCCTGCTTGGGGCCCTGGGACGAGAGAGGGAGGCTGGAGGGCTGGAGTTCAGCCCTGGGCTGGTCAGCGGAGAAGGAACCGTTGGAGACCAGGGTCCTCCCAACTGGACTTGCCCTGAAATCAGGTTCCTCGCTCATCTTAGGGCCCCAGTGGCATGATTCATCCAGCACCCCCCACCCCCACCCCCTCTGACATTATCCTATGCCAGTTGCTCTCCCAGGCCCCAGGGGTACGCCCTCGCAGGGCCAGGGCTTTCCCAGGACAGAGGTCGGTTGTGTGGGGTTGGGACTGTGCCTGCCAACGCAGAGGGGTCCTGAAGACCCAGGGAAACCCCAGCGTGAGGGGGCGGGGAGGCTCTGTGGGGTGTTAGTGCTACCGATGTGCCCTCTCTCCCCAGGGGGACTCCCCCAGAACAATCCTAAGCGGACAGCGACTACCCCTGGGCCAGGCACGGCTGCTCTCCCCAGATTCCCTTGCCCCTGCCCCTGTCCCTTGGGGCACAAATCCGACTGGAGAGGTAACAGGCTGGGTGGGCAGCTGGTGCTGGGAGTGTGAAGAGGCATCGGGAGTGGAGGGCAGCAGGGCTCCCCATTCTGCCCCTAGCTGCACGGTGGGTCCCCAGGGCCCTAGCCCAGGCCTCGGCCTGGTGGAGGCTGGCCGTGCTCCAGGAGGCCCCCTTCAGGGCGGGCGGGCTCCCCTCCGCATCCTCGCGGCGGGAGGGGTCGGGACTCCACCTCAGAGACAGAATCCCCAGACGTGAGGACCCTGGCGCGGGCTTCCTGGGAGGCTGTCCACCCAAAGGACTCCCTGCGAAGGCGGGGCCCAAGGACCCGGTCCCCCACAAACCCGCCCCCGTGACCTCCACGTGCACCCCCACCGTCTGCAGGCCGCTTCTCCAAAGCACTGCAGCTCCAACAGGGGCCCCTCGAGGGCCCAGGCAAGGCTCAGGACGGACCAGTCCCCTGGGCGGCACCACCAGCGGCTGGTGGGGGAGCGGAGGGCACGCGGGGCGGAGGCAGGT